CTCTACCCTGCAAAAACCCGCAAGCCAGTACACCTAACGTGCACTTACCATGCCAATTTTTCTTCTTCATTTCCCTCATATTATGACAGCCATGTATTTTTTGAGAGAGAAAAAAAAATAAAACAAAAACAAAAAAATAAACACAGGTGCCCTCAGCAAATATCTTTCATATGCAATCATAGAACAAATACTTAAAAAGTTGTTGTTAAATTAGATTCAACACGAGCTACATCGTTGAATCAGTCCCAGCTTCAAAGCAATCCTACATTAGACATCCTCACAAATATCTTGAAAAATTATTGCAAGATAAATTACTATGCACATGATAATCTGAAGTTACTTTTTGTTGAACCTGTTAATGGCAATGTATGCATAGCTTTACTTTCCGTTCACACCATTCTGTGCTTGCTAGCTTAGCAGCACTCTTTTCCCACACTTGTGGCTTGAGTTATTTATTTCTGAATGCCCTTGGACAAACATTACAATTATGACAGTGCCTGCTCACATAGCAGCAGCAACAACAAAAAGACCTTGCTAACCATTATCTTCAGCCATGTCATGTGGAACCATGCAGGCATGAAAAGCAAAGATGCATTTGAATACCAGTTACATTAAGGGGTAATTTTAATAAACTAGTTTGGGTCTGATAGACCCAACATATTAACAGCTGCAATGAGAACTGGCATACATCAAACAAAAATACACAAAGAAAATCTTATTTTGTTTTTAAGGCAACAGGATCATTCTTTTGAATGAGAAAAATCTCTTTTTAGGCCACTGGACTGTCATCTTTATGGTTCACTCCCTTTCTACAGAGGGGCAGGGCCAAGCTAGCCATTTCCACACAATGCAAAAAGTTTCCACAAATATAGCATTGAGTTATTCCAAGCAAGTGAAATGCATCTCCTAATAAATGAAAGGAAACCTGAAGTAAACAGGAAAATCCAAAATAGGATTTTAAAAGTTTTGCCTGAAAGCTGTAGGTTAAATGGACGATATGTTCAAATCACTTATAAATTGCATCTATTTCTTCAACTTTTTCTATGAATATTCCATTTTTATATCCATATTCCATAAAATTTATCATAGAAGTGCACAGTAGACATATGTCAATAACTTCATTAAAAACAGTCAGTTTAACTAAATTAAGTGATGTTGCGCTTTCCACGAGCAGTCTGTCTGCATGAAAAAGAAAGAAAGAAAACTCTGCCCATTACCAGACATTTCTTTACCAATAGCTTTTACAATTCCCAATGGCATGACCCATTTCAAGAACCATCAAGTGAAGAAACTGTATTTTCCATTGCTTTATGATAGAACTCATACCATTAAACCCCCTTGGAAAGCATATCACATATATAACTTGGTTAATATTGAAGATGCTGACTCTTATCACCTGACATTTCAAATGCATCTGGTCATGCATTTAAAACAACAGAACTAGCGCACACCTAAAGAGCAGCAGCTTTGGGCGTTATGAGACTAGAAGGTTAGAGATGCTGATAATAAAAAAGACAGATGCAAGTAACCTTCCCTAAAATGTTGTTTTGATACCCTGTCCAATACTGAGGATTTTCTCCCTATGATTAATTAAGCAGATCTGTTCCTCATAACAGTTGCTGTTATTCCTCTCTTGTCAACTGACATGCTTATTTCTTTTGAGAACCCTTCTCCCTATCTAAATGTGGTATGTTGTGGGAGTTCAAGATATTATTTGTTTGTCATAAACCTTCGGTATTACTTAATTGCTTTAAATTGTTTAAAATAAAGCTGTTAATACCCAATGGCTTTATCTGAATTTTTAGGTATACTCTGAAATTTCTTTCTTAAATAACTTTCTATTCAACTCTCTACCCTGCTTTTGTCCCAAACATTATTTCTTTATCACCAGTGCTGTAAAATACCTACAAGACATGACCAAACTTCCTCTTTGGAAACTTTAGCTGTGATGCCAAGGGAAGTAGTGTATTCTCCATCTTTGGAGTTCTGCATATCAAACTGCAGTGCGTTTTGGGAAGAAAACTTTAAACTTAAGTTACTGGACTAAATGCAGGACTAGCTGGATGAAATTCTCTGAACTGTGATATATGGGAGTAAGTGACTAGGTGATTTAATGGCCTTTTCTGACCGTAATCTCTTTTTATCTACCTCTTGCAGACTGGGCCCTTTCCACATAGCTAGAATTGTAAAGCATCTCTGTGAAGGGAAGGGAGAAGTGTTACTAAATTTTCTCTGGACTATTTATCTCACAACTATCACATTTATTTTAAAGGTTCTTGTTTGACTTTTACCTCCTGTGCTCTCTGCCATACCTGCACTTGTTTGTGACAAGACTGTCTCATCAGCCTATGGCCCTGATCTGCAAAGTGCTCTATGTAGGCAGACTCTCACTGTCTTCTGCACAGGGGCTCTCTGACACTGAGCAGTACTTAACTGCAGGTAGGCTTGGGGCTTTCCGCTCAATTGTCCCTTCAGTACTAACAATAATATCAGTAATGTAATGATAGGCCACAGCCCTTTGACAGTGTCATTTCAGTTACCTATTTAATTTCACTACCGAAACCACAAAGGATTGGATTTCTAAAGAGACCCAGCATCAGTCAGATGTGGGCAGATGTCACAAGTAGGCACTGTTCTTGTCTTCTATTGAAAAGCAAATTAAGCGAGTTAGGATGATTTTTTTTTTTACTGATCTGACCCTCAGGAAAGAGGCTTTAAAAGAACAAATACAGTGTCACAGCTCTGCACCTCACTCCTTAGGACCTTCCAGGAACACACAATATCGAAGATCAATGTGGTTCTTACTTGAATCAAATACAAACCCAAACCTTTGTTCATTCTCAGAAAAATTTCAGTCTTCAGTTGCTCGTCAGTCTAACTGTTACTTAGTCCCCAATCTTCTTCTCTCCGACAAAGCTGCAGTCACACTGCTTTTGTTGTTGTCTCATTCTTAACAGTTTCAATAGCAATGGTTGCAAAGTTCTTGGAAGGCTAGCAAATGTTTTCTAAAGGTAAAATCATGGCTGCCAAAATAGATCATCATGTTCACACACAAAAACCAGGTGGGTAACTGAGCAAGTTTACCCATGACGAGTTTAACTGGCTAAAATAGTAGACTAGCTCTGGTTTTAAATAATTTGCAGAGAGGTTTTAGCTTGATATCTTAATCACCTGCAAAAACAAACTCTGAAATAACAGTCATGTTGATAATCTCATGCCATTGTAAACTATTATTCTACGTTACTCGATCCTTTTCCGCTCCCACAATACAAATATGTCCAAGCATCTTCCCTCTGATATGTAAACATAAGGAAAGCAAAAGTTAGATGTGGGAACCTGAACTAAATGACAGTAAAGGCAGCCAAGCTGAAAAACATCTGTCATTACTGGCTGTGCAGTGAAGCTTGCTTTCAAAGCAATGATGTGCATGTCCCATTTCATGACTAGATAAATGGGTATCCCTGCCTAGATGCAGGGTGGAACCCCACAAAGCCCAGCCTGACAAGTGAGCATCAGCAGCTGCTCTGCAATCCACCCTCCACAGAGATAACTAGGCGATAAAAACAGTTACACAGTGCATCCTCAGCCTGCCAGCAAGCAAAATGCTCACGCTTCCATGTGTTCAGCTGCATTTATTATTTGTATTACCGGAGCACCAGAGAGGCCTCATCAGGGACTACAAACCACTTAGGCTAAATGCATGGAACAAAACACCAGTCCCTGCCCCAAGAACCTTGCAGCTTAACTTGGCAACGGTCTATCATGTCAAAAGAACCTCACTGAATCTTTTTTATCTGCCTCACCAGACATTTCAGGCTCCAATGAAGCAATGCTCAACTTGTTGAAGCAAATGACGTTTCAGCATCAGGAATTAGACCCTTTCCACACAGATTTATACCCTGGGTCAAACGTGTCTTCCTTTTTTCCTTCACATCCTCCCAACACCTGCCCTTGTGTGCTTGTGACTTAAACCCCTGGAGACACAAAGCAGCTTCAAACCCTCTTCCGCGACACTCCCCTGGAACCAAGCATCACCTCCAGCCAGCAAGGGCAGCCACTGAAATTCACCGCTCGTTTCCCATCCTGTCCAGTTACACGCCCAGCCAGGCCCTCTTCCCAGGATCCTGCCTGCCGCCCCACATTTCAGAGGAGCTACTGGGATAAATCATCCCCCTGAGATTACTCGTCCCCCCCACCCCCCAAAACCCCCCTGAAATAATTCATCCCACTCCCACATTCCCATTCACTCCTATAGTGCCTGTCCTCCACCTTCCACAGCCCTTTCCCCACATCCCTACTTGCCTGCTTTCTCCCTCCAGCCCTACCAGCAGCTCCCCCAACTTACCTGCTGTGCACCACCCCCACCGCTCTCCTGTGAAATATGGATTCTCATTTCTACCTAGGTGAACTTTTACAAATCTTTGCACTCTCCTATGCCTAATAAAGGGCACCAATGCCCAAAAGCTTGCAAATAAACCCTTTTTTCTTTTGCAACTATCTAGTTGGTCTAATAAAAGATACCACTGCCACGAGTTTTTGATTCCTTTTGTCACTCTACGCCGATACGGCTGCAACCTGGATACCACCCCCCCCATGCACCCTGAAGAGAGTGGTGATGAGGGTGCACAGAGCGGGGGCAATATCCAGGCTGGGTCTAAACTGGCAAAAGGAATGAAAAACTGCCGGCAGCGGCGGTATCTTTTATTAGGCCAACTAGCTATTTGCAAGAACACAAAGTCTTCATTCACAGATTCGTAGACTGTACAGCTGCAGTTGCAAGCTTTCGGGCACCAGTCTTTATTTGCAAGCTTGCCAAGGGGATCCTCCTGGGACCCACCGCCCTGGGTCTCCTTGCTCCCCCAGCACCTTCCCAGGGCCAGCCAGCTCCCAGCGGGCATCCCCCCCACTCGTGCCTCTGTGCCAGGCTGCTGTCACAACGCGGGGAGGCGCGACCCCGAGCAGGAGCCTGTGCCCGTGTCAGGGGAGGGACGGCTACTTACAAGACTGAGGTCTGCTGCGGCACCCGGGGGACATGATCCAGCATCAAGTGCATGCAGCGGATGGTGCTCTTAAAGCAGAGGCACCGGCTGGGGCAGGAGAGGGCCGGGCAGCACCACAGAGACAGGAGAAGCAGGAGCAGGGAGAGACGCCGGGGCTCCATGTCGCCCTGGCCCTGGCCCTGGCCCTGGCCCCGGAGGGAGACCGGCCGG